CCCCCCAAGTGTCTGTTTTCTTCTATAAGCGTTATGCCACACCCTGCCTCTTCATGTCGCGTCCTGCCACGTTAAACCACGATATGCCACGTTTTGCCACGTTATTACTGCTTACTGCTTACTGATCCCATGATCCAAGAGGACCATAGAGGCCCTGTACAATAGAGCACCACGTCAGGTGCATCCATTTTTCACGTTTTGTTGGTGAGCGCCTGAGTTTGGGCGAAGGATTTCCCTTTCCACTCCGCAATGTTGTCAGTCCATCTCTTTCTTTGCCTTCCTCTCTTTCTCATCCCCTGCTCAGTTCCCTGGAGAATGGTCTTGGATAGTCCACACGGTCTTGTTACATGACCATACAAATTTATTTTAGCAAGTCTAAATAGTGGCTCATGTGTTGTTTCATTCTACTTCCTCATTTGTGATGTGGTCTTTGTATGAGATGTCAAAGAGTCGTTTAAAACACCGCATTTCGGCTGCTTGGGTCTTCCTCTGCAGCTCTGCCATCAAGGTCCATGATTCACAAGCATACAGAAAGATGGAGATGACGAGGGCATAGAGTAGTCTGACTTTGGAATTGACTGAGATGTTTCTGTCTTTCCGTGTTGGTCTCAGTTTTGTAAGCGCCCCTGTTGTTAGTGCAATTGCTGCAAGGACTTCTGGTTTGGATCCTTCTTGGCTGATGATAGCACCAAGATACTTGGACTGGTCGACTGTTTTAAGCTGTTGACAATTGAGTTTCCTTTAACAGGTCTGTCATCATACAGTGAGTCTTGGGCTGATGAAGCCTGGAGGTGCCCATCTCTCTCCAGGATGGGCCATAGCCGACTTTCTCCAATACCCGTGGGCTCGCCTTGACCTCAAACACCTGACCGTTGTCCTTCTTCTCTGGGAAGTCTACGCCCTGACCGGTTTCTTAGGTACAGGTCATACGGCCAGTGCCACGTTATACCAAGTTCTTATTGTGTTCTTTGTGAACCTGGAATTAAATATGGCGGCGTGTGGAAAACGAATGGCTTACAACGTTAACACAACATGATACTTTTGCCATGTCCGGTATCCAGGGAAACATAATCTGTAACTAAAGAAATCAATTCCAATGTATCCCCTCCCCTTTTTTTCCTTTAACAATGTCACACAGATACATTGCTTTTGTCGTTGGTTGGATGGTGATACTAGTTGGTTCTACTTATTTTCATTCCCCTCCGTTGTTTCCGTCCGTCTCTTGCTATTTTCTAGTGCCAATGACTAATATCGTGTTGAGGTTCATCTGTTTGATTTAACAAAAATGAAATAAACTCTGTTGTCAAAAACATTTTTAAATGGGAATATTTTAACGTTTTTCTCGTTGGCGCCTTTTTAAACATAAACACTTAAGGTCTTTTATTCTAACTTCATTTTCCCCCCACCCCCCAAACCTCCTTCTCCACCGACACCCCTCCATCCCTCCTGCAGGTGATGACGTAGCGATTTTCAGATGGTCTGGCGAGACAGGAGAGAAAGAACACGAGGGTCCGATACCCACATACTGGCTACGTCACTACTGCTACTCAGAGGAGGCAGAGAGTCAGAGGAGGGAACAGAGGACCATGAAGTTTTACAAGGAGGTGAGAGGGAAGGGAGGGGAGAGAGGTAGGTAGGAAGGGGAGATAGAGAAGGGAACAGAGGACCATGAAATTTTACAAGGAAGTGAAAGGGGGGGGGTGGGGAAGGGGAGTAAAGAGACAGGAAGGAATAGAGGCCCATGAAATTTTACAAGGAAGTTTTTAAAAAAAAGGGGGGGGGGTGGATGGGAGGAAGGAGAGGGAGATACAGATGGGGGAACAGAGGACCATGAAGTTTCACAAGGAGGTGAGAGGGGGGAAGGGAGGGAGGGAGGTAGGAAGGGGAGATAGAGGAGGAAACAGAGGAATGAAAGGATGTCACAGAGGACATATCAGGGAAAAGCGGAGGTAACAACAGAGGACATTGCATTTGCAAAGAGAAGAAGAAGTAGTCATAAAGGCTAACTTTGAAGCAGCTTTGTAATACAACGTACTTTACGTCACAATAAACACTTCACATTGATGCTGTTCTTGTGTTGGTCACTGGTGAAATGGCACACAAATAAATCATAGTATTCCAAGACACGCACATGATGGTAAACATATATTTTTTTTAGACAAACATGATAGTGAATGTATTCCAAGACACAGACATGATAGTACACGTTTTTCAAGACAGACATAATTATTATGTCTGCCAATATTGGCATCCCAGGACACAAACATGATAGTATATTGTATTCCAAGATAGCCACGACACAAATACAACAGTACATGTATTCAAAGACGCAGACATGATGGTACGTTGCATTCTAGACACAAACATAATAGTACAGTGTATTCCAAGACACAAAGACATGATAGTATATGTAGTATTCCAAGACAAAGGCATGACAATATTTTGTATTCTAGACACATGTATGATAGTATATGTATTCCAAGCAGGGGCGGCTCGTGAGGCTAAAAAGTGGACGTGCACAATTAAGCTATCGCATGCTGAAGATAGTCAAGGGCATAGTAAATGAGACGGTGTAGAATCTATAATTTTAAGATCTTTGGGTTGGTGAGGGAGGACCTCGTGCTTTTATTTTCATTCTTTTTACTTGTCGTTTTGATTTCTAGTATTAAATTTGTTTGTTAGCTAAACATCAATTTCGTTCATCCTGTATTGGAAATGAACACTCAAGTAATAATTAACTTTCACTACTCCACTACAAAACCATTCAAAGGCACAACTCATAGGGCGGTCACGTTTACCTCCCTCAGGTTCATG